CAAAAAAAGGACTCATTATTTTTCAGTAGATGTTCCCTAAGGGTTTCTTCTGTGGTTGACATAGTCCTCAGCTCCTGAATCCAGCTCAGCCTGGTTAGCTACCTGCCCTGGTTTGTCTGGTGGTTCCTCTGGATGTGTGGAGGGGAGTGCCCTGGTTCAGGGTGAATCACATCTTCAACAGGGTTTGTGTGTAGTACCCCCAATTCACCCATCCTTTAGGCCCTGGTGGCATGGGTCATCTCGGGGAGAGGGGTTTCACCGTCAGTGGCCATCTCTGAAAAGCCAGATCCATTCCTGGCTCAAAGCTTACTTTCAAAGGTGGGGAGAAAAGTGACATTAAGAAGAAACTTACTGTACCCCATATGACTTCTGAGAGTCAGACAAATGCTATAAATTATGTTTTCTTAAAATGTTTAAACATTTTTATATTGGTGTTAAGAAAAGAATATCCACCTTCATTAACTCCATGGATGGTCCCTCAAGGTAGTGGAAGAGGGACTTCAAAAGCCCTGGTCCTCATCTTCAATTTTTTACTTTAATTTTGTGGGACCAAAAAGGCCCTCAGGGGACCCAGTTTAGCCATTGCATTGCAAATCATATTCTCTTGAGGACATACACCCATTAATCCTTAGAATGTTCTTAAGATTTAGGAAGTGCACAGCTCTTAAGTACTTCTCTTCCACAATTACTAAGGTTATTGAAATAAAAACCAGGCAAACAAGGCTACTGGTCCTCCAACTCCCTCCACAACAGATTGCCATGAGGTTTAATGAACACATTAGTATCTGCCTTTTTCTCCCTGCCCTCTCTGTGCAACCGGTGCATCTGAAATGCCAACTGTTTCCTACACATCCTTGGTGGATTGGCCTTCAGCAGTTGTCTCCTAACCCCATTACTTCTTCAAAAGGAATTTTGTTATGAGGGACTCGGATGACATAGCATCTCTGGAAAGGCTGTTGATGTGGGTGGGAATTTTCATAGGGTCTGGATAAAGTTTTGACTCCAGGAGTCCAGAGCCAATAATGCTCAGAATAGGGGTCCTGAGCAGCCTATTGGCCTCATATCCAGACATCCAATCTTCATGGATGTTGATGAAAACCATAAGACAATGTTAAACTTAATGGGGAGCACTAGGTCTAAGAGTGTGAAGGTCCTTAGAGAACTTTCACTGGCCAATCTATAATTTGGTATATGCTAATTATGTGCTTTGTGTCAGTACTCATCTGATTTACACAGCAGCATCTTAAGACACAAAAAGGCTCTCTAATATTGACTTGTCAAAGGTCACACAGTAAGATGAAAGAACTCCTTTCTAAGTCAGACACACCTTGGAATGAACCCAAACTGACTTAATAGAATAAAATAGCCTCCCCCCTTCCTGCTTCTTCCTCCTTGGACTTCTGCACCAACCTGGAGAAGGTGGTCATTTCTTCCTACCCAGGAGTGCCTCCTAAATCCCCCACGCAGCCCTCTACCTGTTTCTGAGTGGCAGCAAGCAGTCCTTCCCTTCAGGAGGGCACTGGGCTTCTCGTGCCGGCAGATGAGGGTGCGGCACCACTCACAGTGTTTTCGGACCTGGCAACAGCTGCGAAGGAGGAGAGAAGATGGTGTAAACTGGAGCTCAGTGGGAGGCCTGGCCAGGCAGCTCTGAGTCTCAACTAGCCTCCCCTAGGGTCCTCTAGAAGTTCAGGAACCAGAGGGAGCTAGGAGCCCTTGAAGACTGGTGGCCTTTGGACCTGATGCTGGCCCACAACAAAAGACCAGCACCATTTCTGAAGCTCTGGACTCGCCGGGCTACATGGTTGTCAGAGGGGGCTGACCAGCCACCCAGCAGCTTTCTCCATAAAGAACCAGTTGAGAAACTCCATGAATGGAGTGGAATGGCCATTAGGCTTGCGCCCAGTCGCCACCCTCAGGCTGGCGAGAATTCGGGGGGCGGTCATTCACCAGGCATTGCCAGGAGTGAAGCAGGAAACTTGGATGGGCCGAGTTGGCCCATGGAAAGAAAGAATGAGTCATGGATCTCAATGGCTTTGAATCCTCCTCTGAGGACCAAAATTCTCTCGTATTGGAAAATCCAACTTCTCTGTAAACCTGTGTTACCCAGAGTCTGGAAGCATAAGGGTTAAGAAGGCTCCTATCTCCCTCTGTGGGCAGGAATGAGCAGTTTCCAGCGTTAGCAAGCCCAAAGAACTAAGAGCCTGGAACAGGAGCAGGGAGGAAAGCACCAGGACATTCATTACCACCTCCTAGCTCTGGGTTCCACCCCCAGCACCACCGGGGAAAAACAAAATTACCTAGAGCCATTGTTAGCTGTTTTCCTTGGCCTACAAGGAAGGCTCCACTCCCACTCATTATAATATCTTAATGTCTATATAATTAATGTACATGGGCTGGGGGAAGTATCCAAACTGATGTGAGCCCAAAAGCAGATGCTGAAACAAGCCAGTGGCTGTGTCTCTTGCTGCCAGGTGGTATTTTCAGAACCCCACTCCAGCCCCTCTCTGCCCTGCCCTGGAATATGAAGCTAGGAAAGTTACTAAGCCCGTGAAACTTTGGGCAGCAGTGCTGAGAAGGGCCCCTGAGACCTTTCTGCCTAAGCTGCTTCTGTCACAGATGGAAAATGAGAGGTCAGTGTAGTGTGGGGCCGGAGGCCCTCCTGAGCTACAGAGTCTGGGCTGTAACCATGCTGGAAAGAGTTTAAGGCCTTGATTGTAGGTCTAAGCCAGGCAGACTTGCCCTGGTCATTTCCCAGCTAAGGTGTCCCAGGGTAATGGAATCAAGGCATCTAGAGCCCTCTAGCATGGGAGGAGCTGGTCTCGGCCTGGACTGTGTGACTCAGTAATACCCTCTGCCCAGGCAACCATAAGCTTAGTCTCTAGTAGGGACAGGGACAGCAAAGAAGTGGGACTGGCCACTTCTGTGGGAATAAAAGATGGTATCCAGGCATCTAGATTTTTCTTGTCCCCACAGAATCTGAAAAAGTTAGTTTTTAAGTCCCTCTGGAAAGACCCACAGGGGTTCTTAATCTTGTTCATAAGGATAATAACCCTCTTGGCTACAGAAATAGCTAGCTGGCCATGCTTCCCTGGAAGGGTCTCGAGTTGACAGTCTGGGATGTGCCCCACCCAAATCAACGCTGCTTGTCTATTCCCCACAACTGTGCTTTCCCAGGATGCCTGCGAGGGGAATGGATTCTGCCTAGGGAGGAAGGAAAGGCCACCTCAGTGCCGACTCTACCCTCCCTCACTTAGTGCTGACTTGGCCCAGGGGAAAGGTGTGAACAGGCCGTGGCTACTGCCAAAAGCTGGGGCTCTAAGAGGCTCCTCATTTGTTGTCAGGAACCAGAGGCATGAGCTTCAGCTGACGGGATAGTACTGGACCAACAAACCAACAGGACAGAGCCTGTTTTTTTTAGTGCAACCTAGGTGCCTCTAGAGGCGCCTCTAGGCTTCCTGCATTAACATGTAGCTGTGTGTGTGTGTGTACACTCCAGCTTTGCCACTGTCTCCACCGTGACTCAACCAGCACTGTGCTGACCTGAGAATTCCTTCTGAGAACTCTTCAGAGTTCTTGCTCTCTAACTCAGACTTCAGATATTTCCAGGTAGGAAATCCAGCCTAGTGCTGGGAATACAGCAGAGGGTATTCCCAGGGTCTCTGATTCTGGAGAGCAGTTCCTTGGGTAGAGCAAGCAAATGAGGCCAAGATGCTCGTGAAAAAGGTTTCTGAGTCTAGGGCTCAGAATAGCTGGAGGATAGAACTCTAACACAGAAACTGGACTTTGGAGGATGAAGAAGGCAGAGTGGTGGGAAAAAGGGGAGGCTGTGCAGGTCATCCGCATGTAAAAATGGTGACAATGGCCTTTGATGGGACTTTGGAATTGGCAAAGTGCCTTCTGCAGAGAGAAAGTGCTTCTACTGCCCAGAGAAGTCGGGGAGCTGTTTCCAGTTCTCTCTGGGGCACTTGTCTATCTCATCACTATCCTCAAGGCTGTACCCAACAGTGGAGAGGGAGTGTGCCTGGACATTGGCTTTGAGCAACATACAGACCCATGACAGGGGCCCCTCCCAGGATGCACCAGGCCCTTATACAGCTTGGCTGCCATGCTGTGTCAAAAGTCGTCATAGTTCCTCTTAGCTGATGTTACTCATGGTTCATAGCTGTGCTGAGGTGGCCCTGGTAAGTGGCCAGGGAGCAGAGGTCCCTGGTAGGGCAAGGGACCTGACTTGGGAGCAGCAACTACTCACTGTATCAGCACACATGCAATGATGAGGACAGCCAGGGCCACAATGGAGACCACCACCAACGCAGTGATAGCTTGCTTCTTCTGGCTGGCAGCCACCACGGCCAGGAGGTCTGCGTGCTCACAGCGTGCGCCCACGTACCCAGAATGGCAGCTGTGGAAGAAAGGAACATCAGCACGCTCCTGATGGAAGGTCTTGTTCCCCAGTGTTCAGGGAGGGCCGGGCTGAAGCGACCTAGAACCCCTAGGAAAAGCACAAGGGGCCTTCCAGCCTTTGCTACGGGACAATGGTGTCCCTGCCACAGGCACTGCGTTCTAGGAGTAGGGGGACTGATTCTTATTCCTGAGCAGGAGAGGTACCGCAAAAGCACTACATAATTGTTACTGTGCTAAATCTTGGAATAAAGGCAGCAAATGTGTTTATGACAAGAACTTCATTTTAGCAGTTCATAAAAATCCAGGTTATTTTTAAACCAAATGTTTATTCAGAATTTCGGATGAGAGCAAGAAAATACATTAAAGGAGACATAGGCTGTGCTTAGCCTTTTTAAGTTGATTTAGTCCTACAAGTACTTACTTGCTGGGTGGCCCCGTGTACAGGGGGAACCTAGCACCACTACCTGGTCACTGTAGGACTGATTGAAGTTGCCAGCCTTGTGGTGAACCCTGGTGTCCTCATGACCAACAATACCTGGCCTATGTCCACTCTAGGATCAGGGTGCCTGGAGGCCACATGTGAACTTACTGGTGCCCTCATGAACGTGTGCACTCATGGTGGTGTGTTCCTGCTGTTGAGACACTTTTGAGTTTCTCTGTCTTTGATCATGACAATAACCACCTCCTGCCTTGCACAAGTAGATCTCATCCCTGGTTCTCCAGGATATGCTCTAGCCACAAGGAAATCTTGGTCGTCATCTTTTACAGGTATTCTCCCCTTCCCCAAGCATCATTCCTCTCAATAGAGGACTTGGCTCACACACTGGTACCTTTTTTATTATCAGTGAAAATATCTGAACCACCATCTTGATTGGAGTGTGGGAGGGCTTTCTTCCCATAGGGGACTTTTTTGAAGGGTAGCCCCGCATCACATGCTGGATATAAAGTTTGTTTTGCTCTCCACCCAGATGTGACAATAATAGCTGATTTTTTTTTTTTTAAGTCTGCTTTTTGATTAGCCTGTAACCTTTCCTTGTTCCTTTGAAGAACAAGGAAAACTGAAAGGAAATTAACAGTCTCAGGGCACCTGCCATGGTTCCAGTCTGGTTCCAGGCTGGTCCCAGGGCCGTTACACTTGTGATTCCCGTATTACTTCAGCACTCCTGGGCAGCCAGGCCAGAAAGGTACTTGGAGTCACAGGATAAACATAGTATGTTTCCCTGGAGCACAGATTTTTGCCCAATTTAACAAAAGTTGAAGCATTTTAATGTTGAAAGAATAGGTATTATATGAGCTTAAGATTTATGAAAAACAAAAGATGTTGAAAAAGTTGCTACTGAAGGCTTCAGCTTGGGGTGCCAGGGCATAAAGGTTTCTGTAACTTATGTAAAGGTAGTCGTTGGTTTAAATTTAAGTGTTGTGCTTGTGTTTTGTTTGCATATTTAATTCTGTATTTGCCTTTCTTGCACCTGCCCTGCTAGGGATATCAGAGGAGTTTGTACCCAGGTCTGTTGACCTGAGTTTGGGTGCTCTCATGTACCATGCAGCTTTGCCTATAAGAGACTGGGCGAGAATGTCAGAGTTATCACAGATCTGGCTTTTGGCTTAGCCTTATAACCTTGAACAGGTAAAAGAACATTTTAGAGTTCTAATTTAGCAAGGTGCAAAGGGTCTGCAGTGTTTGGTAAAGGGGGAGGCTGAGGAGGGCCCCTAGGATGGGAAATGCCCTGTAGGGCTCTGTGCAGACCCTGGATGGTGGAGGGATCTCTGACTTCTCTTGGAAAAGGGTCAGGATCACAGAAATCTTAAGAATACTCTCAGGGTTTGGGGTAGTGGGACAGAGGTGGATTTTGTTTGATTTTTAACAAAACGATGCAAAGACAAATGTGACAGGGGACTCAAGGCTGGGAGGTGACATCTGAGCTGTCGGTGTCTAAAGAAAACTGGGCAAAGGTCCCTCCTCTATCCTGTAATCAAGTTTGTATCCTGTGGCTCCCTACCTTCCAGAGAGGCCCTCTGCATTGTGGGCTTCCTCTATTTGATGTTTGGTGCCCCAACCATGCCAGGGTCCTAATCTACCCCACGGGCCCACTTTTAAATATATGCACTGCACCCAGCAGAGTGATTGGCACCTGGGCACTTGGGATGCAGCGCTGCCCTCTATTTGTCAGTGTTAACTCCTCCTGGCCTGGAATATTCTTCTTCGCTTTCTTCCTCAGACTCCAACTCAAAGACCACATTCTCCAAAAACATAATTTAGACACATTCATTGGCCCAGTCCCTCATCTGTCCATTTTCCTACCCCTCCTTTAGTGGCTCTTCCCAACCTCCTTGCTCTTGTGGGGCAGGGCCTGGTACTACAAAGTGCCCTGCTTCTCAGATTCTCTTGGTGAGGAGGATAAGAAAAAAGGTTTAGTAACACCTCCCCCCACCCCCATCACCATTTTTTTTTTTAAGAAACAGTTTGGAAAACTTATTTTTAATATTAGACTTAAATTTATGCTGATGATTTTTGGCATAAGTCACACTAGGAAGGAGAGTCACTTCACTGGGCTGTAAATGACTCATGCTTGACTCAGCTGCTGTCCTCTCCTTTACCCCAGGCATGTACTGGTTCCCATCTGGCTGCACATGAGAATCATCTGGGAAGCGCAGGAAAACCAGGACAAGGCCACACCCCTGGAGACGCTCGTTCAATTGGTCTGGGCACCAAGGCCTGAGACCCACTGAGGTAAAACTACCATTTAAGTGCACGGAATTGAGAACCAAAAAGTTCATCTGCCTGTTTCCCTTTCTCCCTTGCCTCTGAGCATTTTCCTAGGATGGCAGCTGTACAATGGGCTCCCTCATAGCAGATGCTGGGGAAATAGGAGCAGTTGTACCACCCCAATTTAAGAACATAATCTAAGGAGCTATCTGACAGAGGTAAATGGGAGATGTGTAACTGAACATCTTATGCCACTTGACCATTCTCTCTCTCCTGTCTTGGTCGTTGGTCAAACACAAGGTTCTAGAAAGCTGGTTTGTTTTCATAATTCTGAAAACGAGGCACTGGAATCATATTGAAGCTATGTTCCCATAAAAAGAGCAAAAATAAAGCCAAGTGCAAGAGAAAAAGGAAAGGGCACAGCTGAGGAGGGGCCAGGAGCACATCAGAGCAGCAAGAGGAGCCAGACAGGTGGGTTCCTGGGGCTTTTTGTTTCTGTTGCTGATGAAGTCTGAAGGTTGCTTTGGTGCTTTTTGTAGGAGCAAACACTGTGGCTGTAGGCAAAGAAATACCTTTCTTTTTCCCTCTGCTAAGACATTTTGGATCTTCCCTTTCTACCTGGTTCACGGTACGCTTTTAAAATGTTGAGAGATTTGAAAATACATGTAGAACTGTGTTTTTGAAGATTTAAGAAAAAATTTTCCTCAACCAGAAAAGGAACATTTCCAAGCAAATCGGAAAGCACATAACTATAACAAAGCAGAAAGAAATGCAGCCCTAACCCCACTCATGACAGCCCAAGCCACGTTTCCTTTTATCCTATTTCTATGTCATTTTAAGCATGAATTTCTCATTTAACATCCCTGCAACATTTTACCATCATTACCAAACAGTGCAAAAATCATTTTAAATGCCAGCGTGATACTTTATATGTGTAGTTTGCTTCTCCAAACTCTAATCACTCAGATTCCATCACTAATGCCAGGTGATTATCTTTGTGCACACATCTTTGTTTGCATTTGAGATTATGTCCTCAGGACAGGATCCCAAAGGTAGGTACAACATGGCACAGACTCTGCAGCCAAATTGTCATGGGTTCTGAGCGCTTTTCCTACTTATTGCCTGTGTGACCTTGAAGGAGTTAGTTAATTTCCCTGGTTCACAGATTGATTGCATCTTTAAAATGCAAAAGTAATAAGACCTATCTCAAAGAGTTATGAAAGTTAAATGAGTTAGGCACTGTTTATTGCACTTTACAAGTGCTGAAAACATCAATAAAAGAATGGGAACATTTTTAGGGCTCTTGAGATATATTATCTTCATAAGCAGTGATGTAGCCTTTGGTGAGAGGCTAGTACACTGCTTATTAGCCAACTCTTTTGGTATAGGTCTCAAGATAAAGTCTTGGATGTGACAGTCCAGGACCAAGTTGAAATGGTTTAGAAATATGTTTTACATTAATTTGCCTTTAACATGGAGAAATCCCACAGGGCAGGGGGAGGAGTGGGTATACTGGGTCCAGTGGCATGTGTATTAGGATTTGCCAAGTCCCACCCTCTTCTCCACTCCAGGGCTGGGAGGATGCTGAATCTGCCTTTGCATCTTTGATCCAAGGGTCGTGTGGGATGCCTACATGTTTTCTACTCCTTTGAGCAGGACCTTACAATATCCCTGAGATGTGGTGATAGTGCCTAGGGCGGCTGATAGCACAGCATAAGAGTTCAACTGTTTGCTAGGAAACAGGCTTGCTTGGTCCCTTATGCTGTCCTCTAGAGCTTTTATAATGATGACAGAAATGTCTTTATCAGGTGAGTCTAATGCAGTAGCCACTGGCTAGTGTGACGGAGAAACTAAATTCTAATTAAGTCAATTTAAATAGCCCCACATGTCTAGTGGCTCTTGTCTTGGACAGCATTTACTTTTGATAATTACTGTCACTGAGTCCTCATTATGAACCCATAAAGCATTAGCAACCCCATTTAATAAATAAACAAATTCAGGCTTAATAGGGCTAAGTCCCTTGTCTGAGAACTCGGCTGGATTTTAACTTGGGAGTGTCTGACCTCCAAATCCATTCCTTTGACTTCATTAGGGTGCCTAGTGTGACCCTACCTGGTACAGGTGGAGATGGGGAGAGAATGGGGGATAAGCACTTTCTCCAGATCTGTGGATGAGAGGGACACCCTACTGATAAACCCCTGCCCCTTGGCTAGGTGAGAAGATAATAGACCTACATCAAACAGCTCATGTACCAACAGGCACACGGTCACTATCTCCGGGCAGGTGGGCCATTAGTCATGGGCAGCCTGCTGGTGCATCAATGGCCATCAACATGTCTGGAAGTTCAACTATTCCGATTCACTGGAATGTGCTGTGGAATGTTTTCCTTGGCTAGCAGTGGTTTGTTTTCACACTTCGCTGTGGGAAAGTTGTCAGGGAGTTTGGGGGCTGGAGCATTTGGTACAGGTGAGACACTCTGAGCTAGCTGCCCCTGGTTGCCAACACTAGAACCCTTAAAACTTGTCACTGGGGTGGCTTCCGCTGACTGTTTTCTTTTGTTTGAAGGCTTTCACAGGCAGCAGCCCAATAGTTTGAGGAATCCGCCTCAGGGAAAAGTGGTGCCTAACCACCCATGTCTATAGCTTCACTGTCTCTGCACATTTTCTGCTAAGTCTCCACTAGGACAGAAGAACTTCAGCAAGCAGATGGGCAAAGGGAGCCATAAATGTGCGGACGAACAGCCCGGGGCTCAGGTGAAGCATAAATGTTTGAGGATGATTTTTCACTACCTTTGGCCACTTTTGACTATTTTTTTTCATTCTCTCATCTTACAGTACAAGATGTTATTTTTCAGTTTTTCTGGAAACTTAAGGACTTCTTATTAGAAGACGAAGTCTAAAAATGTATATTTTGAAACCATCTTCTTGGCTCACTGTGGGTTCTTTATAATGCTGTGACAGATAGGGCCATACCTCAAGGTATGTCAGTTTTATTGACCAGAATGTTGTATGTGTCAGCTCCCCAACGCTGGGGCGGTTCTTAGAAGCAGAGACAGAATGTTCTGGTTTCTCTGCACGGACACAGTTTCTGGTCTAGTGGGAATTTAGTAGTTAGAACATTCTTCTGAGGACTGTAAATATAAAAAGGTGTGGTCCTGTCCTCCAGAGCTTACGAGACGGCTCTGGGCACCCTTTGCTTCCTGCCCTGCTAAGGGTGTGGCTTGCTGGGCTGGGCACCCTGAGCATGCTGTGCAGGTGGGACCATACATCCCCCCGCTCCTGCCACCACCCTGCTAGGTCAGAAGGGCCTGATTTCAGGTCCTGTCTAGGGGTTGAACACTCTCAGCCCTGGGCTCATGTGGGTGACTGAGGGGAGTGCAGTGGGCGATGGGGACTGACACTGTGCTTTGGTGTTGGAGTATCCCTCAGAGAGGTGGGAATCAGAACTGCAGAGAGCAAGCCCTGGCTGGGGTTATGTCTGAGTCTCAGCCCAGGGCTGCCTTTCTTCAAGAGAAATTGGGCATCTGCCAGGAAATGCAGAACCTGACTTCTAAAACACTGCCAATCCAATAAAGCCACCAAAAAAGGAAGTGGAGCATCTCCTACTGCCACATAGTCCTTGTGGACTGAATACTGCCCGCAGGCTTCCAAAGTCCAGAGCGGAAACTGAGGTCAAGAGGTGGGAAGGGTTGGTGCAGCCAGCTCTGCCCAATTGCCAGGTGCCTTGGCTGTCTCATGTTCTTAGGAAGGACTTGTTAAAAAGTCGGGTCAGAAGAGCTTGGGAATGAACCTGACCTTCTCTGGAAGCAGCTTTATCTGCAAGGGGAGAAGTCAACACGTTCCTTGGAAACAAAAATGCTTAGTGATTTGATGTGGATTTTTCGAGCTGAGGCAGAGTGCCCTGTGGGCAGGAGCTAGAATAATTAGGGTGAATCCCACCTCTGCCAGCTACCAACTATGGGCAAGTTTCTTACCTTTTCTGAGCTTCAGTTTCCCCACGTGTACAATAATTTTTAGTGGAGAAGGACATGGTGAGAATCTGAGAGGCTCAATGTGGAGTGCTAGGTACCATCCCTGACCTAAGCTACAGCTTTTACTGAGAGTTTATTCTTAGTAGACATACTTATTAGAATGGGATAGGCAGTCGTCTTTCTTGAGCCAAAAGCTGGACTTGGGATCCAGACAAGGGAGAACAGCAAAACTCCCCTCTCCAAAAAACAAAACAAAACAACAAAAAAAACTTTAGCCACAGATAGTTACTGATTGGCTTGCTTGGTGGCACATGGAGGCCCATGCTGGGCTCTGGAAGGGAGGCTTCTGGCTGTTATAGACAGGCTTCCAGAGCTGTGGTCAAACTCCCTTCAGTGCCAGTGTTTTTCCAGTGACCTGACTACTAATTAAAATGCACATTAGGGGCTTGTTTTTATAAGAATGATAATCATGAGTAATGACAGTGCCTCCTATCAACCTCATTGTGCTCCACTTTACTAGGTGGGGAGGGCTCTCATCTGGGGCAGATTCTTAGAGCTAAAAACATTCCTAGCAGAAAGGTTGCCACCTTGTGTGTCCCCTCTAGGTGAGGCTCAGAGACGGTGAACATAGACAAGGTTGAATCCAGACTGGACTGTGGACTAAAAACCCTCCCACCACATGGGCCTGTAGCAGGCTCTCCTGGCCAGGTCCCTCCCAGGCTAGTTGCAACTAATGCCCTGAAGTACCCTGCCAAAGGACTGGGTTTTAAGAGCCATTGAATCTAAGCTATGGGACTGTGGCACAACCTCTCTGTGCCCACCTTGTGGAGTCTTCATGAGGATTCCATGAGTTAACAATGGATTGTGCTTGAAATGGTGCCTGGCATAAAGTAACAGCTTACTAAATGCTGGTTTTTAAATTTTTGCATTATTTTGTACTATTAGGTTGGACTGTATGAAATTGCTGGCCCATTTTTGACCAATGAATATGTCAATTTCACATCGAACAACTTATTAGCCCCCCAGGGACATTTGGCAATGTCTGTAGAGACACTAAGGAGGGTAGAAGCTGGCAAATGTCCTTCAAGGCACAGTTCAGCCCCAAACAACAAATTATCTGGCTCCGAATGTCAACAGAGCCAAGGTTCACCTAATTGTAGTTAACTGCAGACAGTCTTAAAACGTGTCTCTTCAAAACTTACATGGCTCCTACTGCCTGGAGGCCAAGGCTCACTTCCAACAGGCTCTGGCCTCCAACCTCGTCTCCTCCCATCTCATCCTGTTGTAGCTTCTGACCTGTAACAGCAGGTGCCACCCTCTTGACACTCTGGCCTGGAGCAGCCTCCACTTGCCCAAGGAAGCTTTCCTCGAGTCCCCTTCTTACCCCACCTGGCTGACCACAGCAATCACAGGTTGCTCTTTACTAATGTGATTCCTGGGTTCCACCCCTGGAGATTCTGATACAGGAAGTCGGGATGGGGCTCAGCAGTACTGTGGGGAGGTTGACCAGGTGTGGAAGCCATGATGCATCTTTATGTACATTAATCGTTTGCCTGCACTTCCAGCTTATTTCATTAGCTGGACTGAAGAGAGACTAGAGTGCAGAGTCCTCGACACCTCTGGCCACTCAAAGGTACCCATCCCAGGGCCTTGCCCTCTACAAAGAGTTGATTAAACTTTAATTCAGGAATTTTCTCAACTTTGATGAATCCAAAAGTCACTTGAGATGTTTAAAATGCAGCCGCCAGGCTCTAACCTCCCCAGGGGTCCTGCCACCTGGGTTTTTAGCCACCTGGTTCTGAAGCAAGTGGCCTGAGGCTCTGAACCTGAGCCCAACTTCAGGGTTCTCGGGAGCTTTGGCAAGCCTTGCAGAAGCAAATGCTCTTTTAAACGAGTGCAGGACCACCCCAGGGGGCTAGGGATACTTACACACATGCTGGCTTATCCTCCTGCACCAAAAACCTGCAGGTTCCATGAAAGCAGAACTGAGTGTGGGAATCTGGGCATTCATTAAAATGTGACACCACTGCTGCGGCCACAGGCGGATCTGCTGGGGAGAGAAGACACACGGGGCTCAGATCTGGGCACAGATGGCGCTTGCACCCCACCAGTCAAGGAAGGTGAAGACCCTTATAGCTGGGACTTCCTGTCCCCACCTTGGGGAACCCCCACACTCCATAACTAGTACCGGGCCACAGTGCCTCCATTCAGTGCCTTCTGGATTTTCAACAATCTCCCCAAAAGATTTGGTATGATTCAAAGACACCAGAACAATTCCATCGTTTCAACCCAAGAGCTACTTATTTCACTTTTGTAATTGACTGATCAATTTTTTTTTTAAGAAAATAGTCTCTACTGGGTGTGGTGGTACATGTCTGTAATCCTAACAACTCAGGAGGCTGAGACGGGAATGATGCAAGTTTGAGGCCAGCCTCAGCAACTTGGCAAGACCCTCTCAAAAAGGATCTCAATATGTAAATAAATGATAGCTTTTATAAGAAATATTTTCAAAGCAAAACACAGAAGGGCACAAAGGAACCTATGCCCACTAGAGACATAATAGTTAATGATGCAAAAAGATGTTCATGATATATTGTAAGTGAAGTTAGTGTGCTTCCAATAGGGTCTGTATGGTCTGAAGAACACAAATGAAATTTAAACCCAGAGGAGTCTAGGAAGGATATAAGCTGGCAGCAGGACTTCTCTTGGTGCTGAGGCCAGGAGAGGGGAAGCTATGTGTCTAAAGCAAAGGAATTCACATGAGAGCAGCCCAGTCCCATTGGGAAGCCAGGAGCGGGCAGGATCAGGTCTTCCCCACAGTCTGGGCACCACACCTTTCAGGCAGGGATAAGACTAGCCAGGTCAGGATGCCTGTCAGGCATGCCACTCGGACAGGCTGATGACCAGCACCTGAGGCTTTTTTTTTTTTTTTTTTAAAAAAAACCACCACTGGCCTCATTCTGTCCAAGTGGCACTGCTGGCAGTTCCCTCACCTTGGCAGGTAGGTTTCCATTCTGTTTGGGGAGACTTTCCTACTTATTTACCCCCCCCCCCCCAAAAATATGACTTTTGGAATTCTTGCTCTGTGAAAAAGGGCAGAATATTTCACGTTGTGAGGTTTAAGGCCCAAACCAAATGTTGAATGCCTGTTGTCCTCTATTTATGAATTGCCTCTAGAAGTACCACATTTTAAAAATCCTATAATTCCACTGGGAAAAAAAAATCACAGGCTGAAAACACGATGGAATCCTTGACATGGAAGGCAAGAGTGTAGTGGCTAAACATGCACTTTGGAACCAGAGGGACCTGGGTTTAATTGTGCCTCTGCCCCCTGGAATGGCATGCTTAGCCTCTCCTAGCTGGCTTCTGCATCTAAAGATGGGGGGACACCTATCTCATGGATGGTTCTGAGGTCTAGCCAGGTAATGCTTAGTAGGTCCTATACCCTATGAACTGGCTGGTCTAGGTCACTGAACTATCTGTCTTATCCTCACAATCCCAAGATACTAATGAATCTCTGCATGGGGTAAGACCCATACAGCATATCACCCTCTTTCCCACCATAAATGTGGAGACATGGAGCTAACAGTTCAAATGTTTCCTCAGCCCTAGTGATGGTTGTGCTCACATGTGAGCTCAAGCAGAGAAGCCCAAAGCCAGGTGGAGATGTCAGGGCTGGGTCCCTGGCTGCAGGATTCTGGAGAGTGGCACTCTAGGGCTTCTGTGGTCCAATGGCCTCAGCTGACTGCAGTCAGCCTGGAGCTGAGGAACAGCGCCAGTCACTCCCAACAGTGGACTCTGAATCAAGGCAGAAAAGGTCACTAAGTCTGGATCAGTAGCTTCTCTGTGCAAGCACAGAGAGAAAGGAGCTAGAGACCAGAGGACTTAATTTGATTAAGATATTGAAAAGGCTTTTGATAAGCTCCACAAAAGGCCATTTAAACATTCAACCACCACCTAGTGGCTAGAGGAAGTCCCTTGTCAGCACTTTGAGCCCAGCTCTTCCAAGCATAGTTTGTGGATTGGCCAAGGGCTTCATTCACATCCTGACAGCATGTTAGAAAGTCAAGATTGTGAGTCCACCCTGACCTACTGAATCAGGATCTTTGAGGTGGGACCCAGGAATCTGTGATAGATTTCCCTGTGTTTTTTTTTTTTTTTTTTAGAAGTCAGGATTGTTTGTCCTGCAGGAGGTTCTGATGCACACAAATGTTTGAGACAAACATGCTCTCAGAAAAGTGACAGGAGTCCCCCAAGGGATCCTTTTTGAAAGAGCTGGATATCTTCAAATTCCTATATGATACTAATGCCTTAAATCTGCTGAGCTGCTTCATGGTACAGTGTCAACTTAATGAAGATACACTAAAAGAAATTCCTGGTTCTGTCTTTTGGAAACACTATTCCCCAAAACTGCCTGATGAGGAGCAGGTTCTGCCAAGGTGGCTTTTACCCTCTACTGATGGGTACTTTGCCTCTTATCATAAATGACCTGGGAGGTTTTATAAAACAGGTACAGCAGGGCACACCTGGAATCTCAGAGGCCGAGGCAGGAAGATTCCAAGTTTGAGGCCAGCCTCATAACTTACCTAGACCATCTCAAAAAGGGCTGGGGATGTGGCTCAGGGGTTAAGCATGGGTTCAATTCCCAACACCAACAAAAAGACTAAAAACAGGTACCATGTATATGGGACACAACTGAGAAGAGAGAAGAAGAAAGGGAGGGAAGGAGCAATCAAAGCAAAAGGGAAATAAGGATAGGAGGAGCAAAAAGGAAAGTTGTCAGGCATCAGATTAGTCTACAAAGCTCACATCAGAAAGTCCTGTGCCAAAGTATAGCTCTTTGCTTCCTGGCAGCCTAAGCAAGGATGCACATAGTTCATTAGATGGAAACATACCAGTCCTGAACTCCCCAATTCTGTGGTCAGTGAACAACTTCTCTTTCCCTGTAGGTGTTTTCAAAGGGAATGTCATGTGCTACGGTGGACTACATTAACCATAAATCACACATGAAAACATGTGCTGATATACCCTGTGTTTCTTTACTTGGTTCACTAAGAAGCCCAAGGAGTCCAAGATAGGAAGAAACTCCATACAAAATCAGTGACAGCTGGTGATCTTGCTCTGTGCATTCAGAGACCAGCATGAAAAAAAAGAAGCCTGATGCTCCCAGTCCTCCGTGACTCCACCCGTCTGCCTCACACCCAAAGTCTGCCTCACACCCAAGAGCAGAGAGGACAAGGGGAGCTCAAGGCTAGTTAATCATCAGTCATGAAAAATATTTTTCCTATTTTTTTAATAACAGATGTAATATTTTTGCAATGTTCTGAAATATGCATATATAATAAAGCCCCCTTTTAATCCACTGCTGAGCAAGAACTGTATTAAGTCCACACTGCATATGAACACATACAGGAACTTACGGTTTCTACTTTGTTGCATGTGGATATCATTGGAACTTGTCACAGGTTTTCAAATAGGGGATGAGAAATAAGTGGATGGGGAGGAGCGGGCCACTCTGCTCTCTCTCTGCACCCTCAGGGGGCAAGAGTAATTTGGGGATATAGAAAAGGAAAGATAGATTGCATCTCAAAAAAAGAAGTGCCCCACAAGCCATTGCATCTCCTGAGCAACCTAGCCTGTGTCCTTGACCCCTGTTGGTGTGACATAAGTGCAGGGAAAACTGGAGTAAAATTATGTGGCTCTATCTAGCCCCTAGCAAACATCCCTCTATATATAACAGCCCACATCAGGGGGTTGCTGTTCCTCTCTCTGGAGATGGCTTGAATGTGTCTCTGCTTCCCTAAATAAACCTCTGTCTCTGACTTGTGTCCTGAAATTCTTTTACCCCACTGGTCCTGAACCAAGGTCCCTTCTCTGGGAATTTCTTGGACCTCCAGTGCCAAGGGTGAACCAACCGTAGGCAAGAGGGGTGCACTGGGGCTCTTGGTTGCTGTGCAAGCTTGTGAGCTAAATGAACTTTACTCCAGCCCTTTTCTATGGTCTGGATATGGACTGCGTGTGTGTCCCAAAGGTGCATGTGCAGGAGTCTTGGGCCCCGGTGTGGCAGGGTTGGGAGGTGGTGGAACCATTAAGGGGTGGGACCTGGGGGAAGGTGATTAGGCTATTGGGAAGGGATTCATGAAGTTCTGGTGGGACTCTGGTTATTTCCCACAGGAGCGATTGCAATAAAAGGGGCACTCTTGGTCTCTGAATCTCCCTGGCTTCCTGTCCTGCCATGCAATCTTCCCCTCTCCTATGTGTTTCCACCATGATGCCATGTAACCATATTGTCATGTAGCCAGAAAGCCCTCACCAGAGCTGAGCAGATATCAGCACCAAGCTCTCAAACGGCCAGATCAGCGAGCTAAGTAAACCTTTTCTTTATAAAGCACCTGGCCTCAGCAATTTTGTTAAAGCAACAGAAAATGGACTAATGTACCTGTGCAAAGTGTGAGGCATGCGGTGAGCGAGGGGGAGAAATTGTTGATCTTAACTGGAGGCTTGTAAAGATGTTTATTTTAGATACCACACCCAGCACCACAATCGGCTATTAATACAGGGCTATTCCTGTTGACGTCCAGAAGAAAAGCATCTTTGGGGAAGGTGGGGGAGGGCAGATGTGGGCTGCCACTTATTGAGCACTCACTGTATGCCAGGTGCCAGGCTCTGAGGCTGGGCAGGCAGCCCACTAGAGGGAGTTGCTCAGTAACTTTGGCCATCATATCCACATTGCAAGGTACATTATTTTATAAAAAATGAGTCTTACAAAGGAACCCCCAAATTCCAATATCTTCCCTAGAAGGAGTCAGTCTCTCAGTGTCTAAGTTGCTTTTTCCTCTCTCCACTTCTCTTTCCCTCCTTTCTGAAAAGAAAATATCAAGTAATGGAAGGAATGGCCTAAGGACAGAAAATGATAATACCATCAGGTAGAAAAGGCCATCAGGGAATGTCCAAAGAAGGGCTCCCCTTCAAGTGCAAGTGGAGGGTGCGGCACAGCAGCCCCACCCCCAGAACCTTAGGCCATCTCCTCCAGGCACCGTGTCTGATTAGCACTAGCACGCTGTTGATAGGAAAAGCAAATGTTCTGGTTTTTGGAACAGCCCTCCTTCCGCTCACTCCCAGCAGCTGGGGTTTCAGAGTTGCTCAGTTCCTGATGTCATGAAATTTACGAGAGGCCTCTCCAGCAAGGGAACCAAAGGCACATCTTGCAGACACCACTGTTCTCTGGGGAGCTGTGAAAGTTTTGCCCAAAGACCACAGACCCACTAATAGGGCCTGGAACCCAGCCCCACTCACAGGAAGAGGGTCTGGAAGAACAATCAAGGGGCAAGGAAATCCCAGATTCAATTCACAAGAGGGGTTTCTCCAGTTCAGAAGAGCCAGGGAGACACCGTCTGGACAACGCCTTCCGACAGCCCTGCTCCCAGGGGAGCAGCAGCCACACCACGGAGTGCAATCCCTGCCCCCAGCCCCCACCCCAACCAGCCCTAATTGGACTTTCTGCTCATCAGTGGGAGCTGACTGAGGCAGGGGCTCTTCACTCTTCCCCAGATGTCAAAACCCAAGAATGCATTTGCCTGTTGCAAAGCTTACATCATTCTCGGCTATTTCATTACTTCCTCAAATATCACAGTTAACTTTCTGACCGTTTCATAATGATGTCTGGCTTTTCAGTGGGAACATGAGCCAAGGTTTGTGACCTGAGACCAAATATTTTCAGACACTGCAACAGCAAAACCAACAAATGCCTCTTGAATGTCTGGGAGAAAAGGCAGGAGATTCACACAGTGAGTATGGCAGCTGCCAAGCAGCACCATCAAAGTGAGGGAGGGCCCTAATCTGATGCGCCCTTGCGTACTTGCAGTACTCAGTCCCATGTTTTACCCTAAGTCCAGGCTTGAGCTACCTGCAGGGGTGGGCTCCATTTTGGGAAGGCGAGGCGTGCTTCAAGACCGCAGCTGCCCCAGTTTATGATCCTAAACTCTGGGGACAGAGGCTCATACCTGGGTGGCAGAAATGCTGCATCAGGTCATAAAGAGGCAAACAGAAGTAAGCATTGGTGAACAGGGGTCCTAGCATTCCTTGGCATTTGGGGTTGGTGAGAACCATCCTTTAGAATGGTACTAAAGAGGAAGGCATTGTCTGTCTGCAATGTGGCAATGCCACCGACTTTGACCAGAGAGCGGAACACCCCTTCCAGAAAGATAATCACTAAGAGCAACTCCTGTCCAACCACCACAGGGTGGGTTTCACATGAGCAGCGGAAGTCAGCAGAGTACAGAAAAGTGACCATCTGTGGCTCGGGTAGGAAATTCATCCTCAAGGGCTATTCACTGACAGGGGGGACTCAATTTTGTTGTTCTGGGACTCAGGCATGGTAGTGGAGATGAGATAAATATAATCACGCAGCTCATTCACTATTAAAACCAGGAATCTATAAAACAGCGATGACATTAGTTAGCTTCACGGCCCCATCATATGAGAGAGAAGGGGCATTCTTATTAGTTTAGCAGCGAAAAGAGAAAATTCATTTTATACTGAAAATTAACTGACACCTACTACTGCAGTGCCTCTTGCCATTCCACTTGGTGAGTTGGGTCGGGGAGGAGAGCCATTTCTGTCCCTGCCAGCCCCTAACCCTGAGATTCTCAATTTATTGAGAGAACTCCTGTACTTAAAAAAAAAAAAAAGTTTTTCTCCCTGTAACAAAATACCTAAACACAGATTTACTAATTCATTTTTTTAAAAAAAATATTTTTAGTTATAGGTGATGGGGATATAGCTCAGTTGGTAGAGTGCTTGCCTCACATGTATAAGGCCCTGGGTTTAATCCCCAGCACCACCAACAAACAAACAAACACACATTTTTTAGTTATGGACACATACCTTTTTTTATTTATTTTTTTCATGTGGTGCTGAGGATCAAGCCTAGTGCCTCATATGTGCTAACCCCAGACCCCAAGATTTACTAATTCCTCAGCAACCTTTTCCAATACCAGCTAATTTTTACCCTATTTGATTTGGAACTTTCTGTGATCCTAAACTGGCTTGATACCCTGCCCACCTCTCTCACTTAAGGATAGGGACAAACCTCAAGACTTCCCTATAGGTTACACGTTATTAGACTCCATTTTTTTAGATGGGGAAACTAAAGTTTACATATCCTCGCCAATGGCACTTGGCTAGAAAGTACTAGAATTGGAATCTTATCAGTTTTCTCTAATTTCATGAAAATGAAGATCTATAGAAAGTTAGGTTATTAACATCTGGAAAGAAACACTAAGAAGGTACATTGACATACACAAATCATGCTGTTAGGAAGGGGACACTTTTTAAGCAGCTTCTAGTAATCAGGGACATTTACAAAAGCAATATAAGGAAGTACTACTTTTTGGGGGGAGGAATGGGGAACTGTACATATGGAACTTATTAATCCCACAAGCAGCAGTAGCTGGACAATATAAACAGATGCAAAAGAGATTTCTATGTATCCATGAATGATGCTGGTTCATGAGACACGGCCATGTCTTTTTCTCTAAGCATGCTCCCATCACAGCCTGCACCTCGGGGCTGTATGGTACTTCTGACCCAGAGACCAGGGGCTGCTGGCTCAGTGAAGAGCTAATACAGACTCCTGAATTGCTTTTGCAGATTTAGACAAGATGCTAAGGGGGAAACCTGAGGAAACATCTGAGTCAATTTAATTCCCTCTCATCATTTCCCACTTGGGGCAAAAACCAAGGAATGTAATGGAACCAGATTCAAAGAAAGATATTAGTAGAGAAGCAGACAGCCTATTTTCTACTTTCCTGTAAAGACACTGGTTATTAATAACACAGCACTTGTGTGTGTGTGTGTGTGTGTGTGTGTGTGTGTGTGTGTGTGTTGGGAAAACAGACACATGGAAATTCACCAGTACAATTGGACTCCAGTTGGGTTCATCCTGCTTATGCCTATGTTGAAGGCCAAGGCAGTTTTTTTTATTCCAACAGAAAGAAAATCAGAAAACATGAGCATAGAAATACTTTGCCAGGATCTTATTCCCCCTAAACACTGTCCCAAAAGTGTTAATCTAATGTGGATCTTCTGAGGTCAGATGATGATGATATTATTATTAATAGTAGCTACTATTAATAGATGTCTGCTAATTGCAGGCATGTGCTTAGCATTTAGAGAGAGAATTCTGCTTAATCCCGTGAGGAGGTCATTACAATCCCAGTCCTGTGGATAAGGAAAGTGAAGCACAGGGAGGTGGAGTGTGTTCAGTGTCACTTTGTTAATAAATGGCAGAGCTGGAATTGGAACTCATGGCTGGCTTCTCTAAAGCTCTTGCTCTAATACAGTGTGTGCATGTGCAAATAAAGGGGTAAAAAACTCCTTAATGTGCTTCCACAGTCCAGACAACTCTTTGATTTGGAAAATAAACAAATCAAGGATTACCATGAAATCCTCAGGGGTATTTTAGAATTAAAAGGGCTGAGAGTCCCAAGGAAAATGGCCTTAATTAGCAGAGTAGCTTTAGGAGTCTAAAATAAAACCTCAGTGCAATCATATGACATATGAACTGAAACTAGTCTGTATGGATCCATCTAGAGATGCACATATTTCAACTTGGCCTCTTACCTATACACCAACTCCTGCCAAGAACACCATCTCCCAAGGGCCTGGAGAGTGGACAGGTGGGGTGGGCGAGATTCCTCAGGTTGCCTGTAAATCTGCATTCTAGATTATGGATTAAAGTGAAATTGAAACAGAGGGCGTGCATTGGACAGATTGCTCCCTCTCCACTGAGCTCTTCCTGTTCCATGTGACCTTGTTCTCTAGCTCCTAGGCTGCTGCTTCTATCTCTACCTTGGCCTTAGTCATTTTAAGTCAAAAAGAAAAAAGCAAAAAAAAAAAAAAAAAAAAAAGAAAATTGCAGGTCACGGTTTTGCTTTGAAGACTGAAGCTAAACCTCCCCCTTCTTTTAATATTTTAATCCTTTGATATCAAAGAGACAGACCATTTTCATGTCTTCAAACCAGAAAGTCCCTTATTCTAATTACATCCTCTTGGGTGTCAACCAGCATTGTGAAAATATTTCACTTCCAAGTTTCATTCACAAAGTCAATGTGGATTTACCGAAGTTTGGCTCTCATCAGCTGGCTCTGAATCAGAACATGAAGAGCTCTGGGAACTAGAACGAGTCCTGCTGGATGTGGGATTCTGTCTTGGCTTTGTTGGAGGAACGGCCCTGTTGGAGCCCAGGGCTATCTGCCTCTGCTGTCTGTGTGTCTCTGTTCTCTTTATAAATATCAAAATTGTTAGGAAACACGGTTGGCAGGAAACCCTCAATCTACCCTAAGGAAAAAAAAAATGCTTCCTCTCGAGTCTTTGAACCATAATCCCTTCAAACTGTCCTCACTGAGCACTGTAAACACTACAGGATAACTGTTTTTCTAGAACATTTCATGTCTTCAGAACTTTTGACAGACACGTTTTCAGTTTTGCAGTGTGTAGATGCTATCTTGGTGGATGGAGGATTTCCCCTCATCCTAAGGAGGAGACTGAGATGTACAGAGGTAAGTTTAGGGAAAAACTCAGCAAACTTAAAATATAGGTGAGTCAGACTTTGTCCTCTGACAAAAAAGTGGCCTGTTCTTGTTTCACTTGAGTTTCATATAGATGATTTTTAGTTGCCTGTAGATAAAAAGGCCCTTCTATCAAGAAGATACTTTAGTGGGCTGGGGCTATAGCTCAGTGGCAGAGCACTTGCCTAGGATGTGTGAGGCACTGGGTTCAATCCTTAGCACCACACAAAAATAAACAAAGGCATTCTGTCCATCTACAACTACAAAAAATTTTTTTAAAAGTAAAAATTAAAAAAAAGATACTTCAGTATTGTGGGTAAGTATTTTTTTCTAACTTCCTAAGCTTCACAAAAAGAATTTGAGTTTGAAAATATATTTAAAATTCAAACTCAACATGAATATAAATACCATTAAAGTTTAAATTATTTTTATTTTTAATATTTGACTTACAGATTTGTAGTATTTTAGTACACTAAATTTTAGAAGTCTGGATTTGAGTCTACACAAGAAAAGTCATGTTCTATCTCTTGTTCTATCATTAAAAGGGAATAAAGAGGAGTCATCTCTTAAAACAGTCATCTCTTAATTTTCCTCAGGAGCCCTACTTGGATGCCCAAGTCCCTTAAATAAAATTGTAAGAATATTAGTGTATAACCCATGCATATCCTTAGCACCACATACTTTAGATTACCTCTACTTACAATACCTAATCCAATATAAATGCAGTATAAATAGTTGTTATACTATATCATTTAGGGAACAATGAGAAGAAAAAATTCTGAGCATGTTCAGTAAAGAACAGCTGCAATTTTTTCAATTATCTTCAACCTGAAGTAGGTTGAATCTGAGGACGCAGAACCTACAGATGTGGTGGGCAGACTGTAATTACTTGTAGAAGACAGAAGATGTTCAGATGAAAGATGAGAGCTAACCTCAGGTTTGATTTCTAGAGATAGAAACCTTACATACTCCCACTAGAAATAACAAACCCCAGAAAAAAGGCAGGCTATTTGATCCAGTCCATGTCCAACCACTATATTTAATGACATTTTTGAATCAAAAGAACTCAACCCAGAAATTGCTGTTTGGGGCCAGACACCTCATGAGTTCTGTTAAACCTGGTTCTTCTTCCCCCTGAGCACACAGACTACATTTTCCAGCCTCCCAGTGTAGTTAGATGTGATCATGTGATCAGGTTATGGCCAATGGATTTGAGCAAAAGTGATGGCTCCATTTTTAGGATTGGTCCATAAAAATCTCCTGTGCATCTCCCTTTCTCCCTCCCTAGGCACCAACTGAACAGAGAGAACTCTTCCAAAGGCATAGAGAAGGAAGGAACCATAGGGAATACCACATGGCAAAAAGCCTGCAGGGCCAGCATACCTGTACATCAGACATGAGCAGGAAGTCAACGACATTCAGGACTTTGATAAAGCAAGGAGGGCTCTTCTAAGGCCAGACTAAGCCTGAACAGCACTTAGGGTTGTTACCGAATTTCTGATGTAGGATAAATCATACCCTTTTCACCCACTGTCCGTGTTTCTTTTGGGAACCTTTTCTATAAAGGGTTTTATAATGTTATTTAAAAAGTAACACATTCATTGTCGAAATTTTAGAAAACACAAAAATTCTAAGTTAAGAGAATCACTTGAGATCTTGTCACTGAGAAACAACCACTACTTCTACAGAACATTTTACAAATGTTTAATTTTTTTTCCTGGTAGTTTATTTTCTTTTTGTTCTTTGCATAAGGGATCATATTTCTTGGCTACTTTCCCCTTGCACTGGTTAAGAATACATCTTCTTTTTAATCTACTGATGCTTATCTTTGAATTTTAAAAAATTATTCTCTCGATATCGAGTGAAATCTGATGTTCAATTAGATATTTAGCATAGTTTTGCTTTATCCCTCTGCTTGTCCCCAATTATTAGTTTTTTTATTACTATAATCTGATTTTATATCCTTATTATGTTTTCTAAAATGCTAGCTTCTATTTTAATAATTATTTTCAACTTCTGTGCTAGTATAACTATATTGACACATCATCAGTTGGGCACATTGTCACTAATATTTCTGTACCACATCTTCCCGTTCAGGAGATTTTTATCTCGAGATAAATGTTACCGAACTGAAGAGGATCTTTGAACATCTTTCCCAGGAAGGGCATGAGATGGGTGTGGCTACATAATGAAACATTATTTGTCTGAAAACATCTTTCTCATCCACACTCATGGCTTTGCATATGACAATTTCTCCCACCGTTGACTTTTGGCCTTGTAGTTGATGAGACACCTGAAGCTAGACTGACTCCAGGTAAATCTGTTTTTCTTTTTACTTTGCTGCTTGTTAAGACTTTCTTTGTAATAAAAACTAGTTAAATCACGTTGAGGTTAATGCTTTCAATCTTAAGGACAAATGTATTTCAGTTTAAGAAAGTTTTCTGTAATGTTTTCTTCTTTTGGATCCCCTACTTCTATTTTCCAACTTTCTTTTTTTTTCCTTATTATTTTTGTCTTTTGAGTTACCTTCTGAGTTCTGGAGAAATTTCCCATCCTACTTTTTTTTTAAAATTTCACTCATTTGATTTACTGTACTATCCAATCTGAGGCTCCACAGTAGATTAAAAACTCATTGTATTTTATCATTTCCTTGCAGCTGTCTCTTATTTCATAGACACCATGTCAGCTTGAGTCTTGAAGACACCATTTAGAGATGATCCAACCTCTTTGCTTCTCAGGACTATGGACAGACACTCATTGGGATTCCTCAGGAACATTCTTCTCATATAATACATCTGTTCATGTGGCAATTTCTTTCATCATCATCTGTATTGAGAAAGATCTACTTTGTCCAGTGCCATGTGAAGTTAAGGAGGGCTCCATGCAAGACTTTATTCAATATTGGGCCAGGTAAAATAGAAAATAGTAAGTTTAATTGTAGTGCCTTTAAATATCTAAGAAATCTCATTGATGAAAGCCAGAGAAAATAGGTAGAACAAAGAATTTTATCTTTGGGTCAGAAGATATTTTGTCTTTTCTTCCGTGTGTTTTCCAGGCATCCATACCATGCAAGGAATGACAGCAGACTGGGTTCTGCACTCATTGTTCCTGGTGTCCTTTCTTGAGGTGTTGATAGGACACAGATGGTCCAGCCACACCCCATACTTTGGCCTTCTGAGGTATGGAGCTGTTGGTGTGATTCTGCTTATGACAAGCTCCTTGTCTCCCCAAGAATGGTTGTTGGAACAGGGTTAGGTGATTCCAACTTGCACATTTACTGGCAGAAATTCTGTAGAGCTTCCCATACCAATAAGTTTAGAAATAGTTTCATATTCCACTGATCATTGTATTAAGTGACCAAGGGCACACTGGGGAAGTTAATGTGGAATATTCTAGTCTTCATTTTCTTTTTTTTTTAAATCATTGTAGTAAGATGAACTTATATTTTCTATGTTAGTTGCACACAACGTGACCAATGTAACAGTGCCATATCAGCCCCAGTGAGCACTGACAGAGTTTACAGAGCACACTCTGGGAATCCCTAGTCCAGTGTCAGCACATACTCTCACGGACTCCAAGAGGGGTCTGGTTTCCATGATGGCTGCCTAAGCCCGTGGGCCAGGATCTCCCAGAGCTGAAACCTCACCCCTTCTTCATGGTCTGCCAGGATTCCTAGTGAGAAAAGCTCAGAGCCAACACACTCCTTCAGTGATCTAAGGCCTCTGCCTCATAAAAATGTTGGGAATTCCTGATTTAACAGACTTCCTCCCCAACCCACCCCCTCAGGCTAAGTGTAAACCAACCACCTTGGAAATTTGTTCTTAAAAGGAGAAATGTTAGGGGATCCCAGAAACACCAGGGTCATTTTATCTCTTAATAGTTTCTCCAAGTCATACTGGTTATGAAACAAAAGACCTCATATTCTGATAAAAAAAAAATTTCTTTTCCATTCAAAGTAGAGGAAATGAAGCCCTGAAGAGTCTTCTTGTCCTAACCCAGAAATGAAGTTTTTATACCTGAGATGGAGGTGCTCACCTTGAACTTCCCAATCAGCATAGAGCCCTGCTTATGATGCCCTAGAGGAACTCTTTTAGGCCTCTGGGGCTAACAACCTCCAACAGAGAGTTGGGCCAGTTTATTTTTAGGAGATCCTTCTCTGGACCATGTTGACATTTGTCTTCCTGAAGCCTCTTCCTATTGGCTTGAATTTTGCCTTGGAAGTCACACAGAACAAGTCTCTTTCTTCCAAATAGCAGTCATCCCCCAAATCTGAGTTTGTGGTCCTAAACTTCCTGTGAGACCCAGCCTCCAAGACAGCACCCAGTAATCCCCACCTGGCACCCAGAGCCTTGCCAAGGCCACTTCCACCGTCTCAAAGTAGTCTGTGTGACTGATAGAATACGGAAGGCTTGTGACTTCAGAGATGAGGTCATAAAAGGCACTGCTTCACTTACTCAGGGGATGGCCAGTTGCTGGCTCATTGGGACACTCAGTGGAGCATCCTTGTAACTATGTGAGAACCATCCTCCAGCCTCAGTCAGGCCTTAGAGGATGGTGCAGCCCCCCTTGACACCTTGACAGGTTCCTTAGTGAGAGACCCCAAGCCAGAACCTCCTATTTAAGTTACTTCTGATTCTTCTTAGAGCCTATGTCAGACAATGTTTGATTTCGCTGCTAAATTTGAGGGTACTTTGTTATATTGCAATAGATAATTAACTGAGTTATCTGGAGAAGTCCTGAAGACAGCAATTAGAAAGAAAATAAAGACTAGAACATTCCACATTCACTGCCCCAATGTACCCTTGGTCACTAATACAATGATCAGTGGAATATGAAACTATTTCTAAACTTATTGGTATGAGCAGCTCTTCAGAATTTCTGCCAATAGATAATACAGAGTTCCTATATATGTGCCTTAAATGAGAAGGTCTGTAAATTTTTTTATCTCAGGACAAAGTGATTTTTTTTCTTGAGTGCCCTTCTTAAAATAGTTCAGCATAGAGTAACCATGACAATGACAGCAACAACAAAGACATTTACCCAAATGCCTGGGGTGTTGGCCTCTGGGCTGAGTTTTAAACCTACAGTTGAACTTGACTCTTATAAAAGCTTTGTGACATAGATTCTATTATTCTACCCATTTTACAGATGAGTAATACAAGTTTAGAGAGGGTTAGGGCCTTGCCCAAAGGCTTACAGCTAGAAGAGTTGGAGAGGAAATCTAGAAATGGGCCCCTTGACCCTGGAGCTCTTGCTATAAATCTCTGGGATGTAGGAACAGAGTTCAGTAGGAAGATCATTTCCCACGGCCTGATTTCTACACTAATGTCAACTTAAATCTCTATCAACTTTGCCAGCAGTTCTAGAATGCTGTTGGATTATATGAACTTGTGATCAACTAAAGCCTCTAGCTTTTTCTCTACTTACACAGCCATCAAACTTGGACTTACATCCTTCCTAATTAAATCATTATTCTTAACCTAAATACTATTAAATGTGTCACTGTTCAATTTAACCTAGTTGACTGGCTTTGATCTATTAATCTAGCTGAATCCTCTCTCGCGCCTTTGTTCTATCACAGGATTCAACACGAGCTATTGTTCTGGGCATTGTGTCACCTTTGAGTGGGATAAATGTGCCTTACATGTCTTCCTTTGATTTGTTCACAGAATTCTCAGCAGGAAAGGAGGATAGATCTCACTGGCACACCTTGGAGGCCACCTTTCAGGTCAAAAGAATATATCAGTGAATGTTTTCTGAGAATGCCCTGGTTAAAAATTTCCTGCCTTTCCCCAAAACTCATAGGTGATCCCATGTGGGGTGTGTCCGGGGATCCACTCATGTAAGTTCACCGACGCTGTTTTACCTCACCTGGTACCTCCCCTAACTGTGAATTCTTTTTAACTCCTACTTCTCCACTTTGTTCAACTGGATAATTTTATTTTGTCAAGAGTCTTGCAGAGACCACATTGCATTATCTTGACAGCACGTTCCTGATAGCATTTCTCTCACCAGTCCTACAACACTAAAAAAGGAAGCAAAGTTAGTCTCACTGGCTCTCTGGGAGGTTTCATTCACAAGACTCAGGTTTTCCCTTATCTGCTAAAATGCTTTGGTCTAGAATTTCCCTGGGAGTATCAAGTTTTATCCTCTCTAAAGAATCTTGAGGCATTTTTACATATTTAAAATCAGAAACATATTTGTCTTTTTCTACTCTCAGGGCCATTTTTACACTTGCCACTCTTGCTTACGAATACCAACAAGGACGGCGCCATTGTTGCTGCAAGTTTTCTCAGGCCCTGAGGTGAGCTTCATCTGCACCTGTCCAGCATATTCATTTATGGCATTAGATGATCATCAACTAAATAATTCTTGCTCATCTATTTCTTATTTACTATATTTATCTTTGTCTTGACAGAAAATATGAAAGCCAAATTATAATTACTAGTATTCTTTTCCTGGTCTTTTTGGACTTCTTTAAATTTTGGGTGGCGGGTACCAGGGATTGAACTCAGGGGCACTCAGCTACTGAGCCTCATCCCTAGCCCTGTTTTGAATGTTATTTAGAGACAGATTCTCATTCTCACTGAGTTGCTCTGTGCCTTGCTTTTGTTGTGGCTGGCTTTGAACTTGTGATCCTCTTGCCTCAGCCTCCCAAGCCACTGGGATTACAGGTGGGTACCACCACGCCCAGCAACTTCTTTCCTTTTTTACCTATCGGTTCCCAACGACTGCTTTAGAAAGCGCTTTGTTTGTGTGGCCAAAGGGGTGCGTGGACAGGCCTCAGTTCCTTCAGTTGTCAGCTCCCTGACATCCTCATGGACACCTGCCAGCACCCAGAGGAACACCTGCTACCTATGAGGCACAAGCATTCCCTCAACATACCTCTCTTCGTCACCTCTTGGGACACATCCTTCTCTTCATCTCTGCAAAACTTATTAAACTGTGGACCAGAGAATTCCTCCTGCAGATGCACTGGGGTTCCTTATGTCTCTTCCCCCTACACTTTCTCACACACCTTCAAGCTATCAACTTGGAGCCATCAAGAGCCACCCAAGCTCCCCAGGTCGTGTTCCCTTTTCGAATCCTACATATGGGATCACATCTGGTTCTTCTCTGAATTTTGGGAGGCTCTGCGTTCTTGACCTCTCGTGCTACCTTCTTCCACATCTACAAACTTCAGAATAGCACATACAGATACCAACGGGTTGATCTTCTTAGGTTGAGACTGTCTTCAAAGAAGCAGTTGTCCTTGCTGCCTCTCCCACCTTCTGGGTAACACTACAACCAATAGGTATGTGAGGAATTTTTCAGGTGTTCAATCTGTGGCATGCTGAGATTTCCAGAAAATGCACCAATCTCAAGGTTGCTGTCAAACCACATTCTATCCTTATGACTACTTTGTAATCACGATGCAGATAGAATTAATTGCTTGGATATAGCATCTATCCTTACACTTGATCCGTGATGATGTTAGTTTTTGAAATTCATTTTTTAACGTTAAAAGTCCACATCTCCATTGAGTGCATTTGTTGATTTGGGGCTGCCTAGCAAATATTTCTGACTTTCTAACAGCACTGAATTTTCTTTCAGGGCATTATGTCTTCCCCCACAGGTTTGCACCCCATGGGCACCATGGTCAGTTGCCCTGTGGCCCTTATATTCTCTCTCCCTGGCACATGAATGTTGAGAAGAAAGACAAAGATAATGCAGCTGCAGTCCCATGCAGTATAACTGTGGCAGGCCGAGCATGGCTCCTGTTCTAGGATGGAAGAGGTTCTAGGAGGCTCCATGGAACATTCTGGGTTACCATCCATTTCCAAATGTAATTCTCCTGCTTTCCTGCTGATTCTATGGGCTCCCCAAAGCCCACAAGATTGCTTTTGTTTGAATGAGGCAATATGACTGCTGTGAGCAAAGAACCCCCACTGATGTGTCCTCAGCACAAGGACTATTCTTCCCACCATGTATTAAAATGCTGTTTCTTCTCACTAAATCCCTAGTGCTGAGAGGATCATGGAACCACTGGATCAAGTCACTGGAACCATCCATCTACTTCAGCTTCTCAAACACATTTCCTTACAAGCCCACGATGCAGAAACTGGATTAAAATTTCAAGTTTAATCTCTCTGCTGTGCCCTAAGTCTAGAGTTACCTCAGGCCTCAAGTACGGTTTATAGTGAGCTGGTGTTCTGCATTATTACTGCCCTTTCTTCTTCCTTAAATCAAGCTCACCCTTCCCAAATTGATAAAGCCTAGCCTCATAGTTGACTTTAATGTTTTGCAAAATTAAAAACCCAAGAGCTGGGCATGGTGACACATGCCTGTAATCCCAGAGGCTGGGGAGGCTGAGAAAGAAGGATCACAAGTTTGAAGACAACTGAAGCAAAATGAGGCACTAAGCAACTCGTGAGACCCTATCTCTAAATAACATTCAAAATAGGGCTAGGGATGTGGCCCATTGGATGAGTGTCCCTGAGTTCGATCCCTGGTACTACCCCCCACCCCCTGCAAAAAACAAAAACAAAATGAGGACTGAGAATCCAAAGGAACTGAATACTGCTTAAATTTCAAACTATACCTGCCACCCTCTCCATTATATCTGTTGTTACAGTCTTGAGTCTATCTTCTCTCTCTCAAATTGCTATTTATGGACACATTGATCATCTTGGTAGCTCTTTAGCTAAAAATGCACTTACTTCCTTACCCTTGAATGCTACAATCTATCTTTGCTGGAATCCTTATGGGCTATAGTCATATTTACATATCAGGTTTATATAGGAAACAAGTCCATTTTGGTGGCTCTATAATGACCATTCTCCATTTTGCCTCAAAAGAACAATCAAGAAAGACTGGATACCTGCCAATTAGTGACATCAGTGCAACACTGGACCCTTCCACAGGAAGTCACAATTCACAACCATATTGACAACTTATGGAATTGAAGACTTGGGATTGTCTATCCTTCCAGGTGTTAAGGTCACGGTATTTGAAAGGCAAAAGCTCACAGTAATTATCTTAATTGACGTGTCCTAAATATGTTTTTCCTAGCCTGCCAAGTCACGAAGTCATTGCTCTCTGCTGCTCACTAGAGTAGATCTTTCATGTGTGTACTCACACATGAGAGAGTCCCTGCTTATGGAGAAGTCTAGATTTTCCAATCGATGCAGCAAAAATGCCCTCTGTAGACCTAGATGGTGAAACAATGAATGTTCTGATGGATTCTACAGTGGCCCTGAAGGAAAGGAAGGCACAGGGAACAAAGGCAGAGTATTTCACCTCTTTTGATCCTTGTCTGGGCACCTTTAGGTTACCCTTACTCTTAGTGGGAATTAGACCCCAACCCAACACCCAAGAAAATTCCACCTGCATTCTTAACAACTATATCTCCCTGCCTTTATTTAATTCTTGTTTTTAATAAATTTTGAAATTGCAAAAGCAACATAAGTTCAAGGCAGAAAGTTGAGAGTTCCAGTATCTCGTTATTACTATGTACGAAACTGAACATCCATCCTACACAGATTTTTATTCATGCATATTTATGATTATCTTCCTGGGAGTAGAATTAGTGTGATAAAGGGACACTCATTTCTAAGACTTCTCAGACATACTGTCGGGTTGTGTTGCAGGATGTGTGCAAGCATATACACTTCCCTAAGTACGGGGTGTGTTTCTTCATATCCCTTCCAACACTGGATCTTATCTTTCATTTCCCTTTGCCAGTTGTATGGAGGTCTATGTGTATCCTTACATTAATAGTATTTTCTTGAGTTGTGATGCAGAATGTTGTTTATATGAATATTAGAATGTTCATTTCAACTTTTGGTTAATTAGCTGTACCTATCTTTTGCCTTATTATTTTACTTTTTGGTATTGGGGATGGAACCTGGGGGCATTTATCACTGAGCTACTCCCCAGCCCACTTTTATATTTTATTTAAAGACAGAGTCTTGCTGAGTTGCACAGGGCCTCACCCTATTGCTGAGGATGGCCTTGAACTTGTAATCCTCCTGCCTCGGCCTTCCAAGTGGCTGGGATTACAAGCGTGCACCACTGTGTGCGATTCTTTTATCTATTTTCTATAGATGTTATTTCTTGTTTATTTGTTAGCACTCTTTAAAATATAATAACTCTGTATCCTGTTATATATATTACAAGTAATTTGTGGTTTATGTCTTCAATGTGTTTATGCAGAAGTCATACAGACCTTATAATTAGAGGCCTTCCTTGAGATTATATAAATATTTACCTCTGTTTCTTTCTACTAGTTTATATTTAATTTATATTTAAACCATCTAAATTTTTAGTGCATAGCATGTGCATTATTTTATAGAGCCAGCTAATTATCCCAACACCATTTGTTGAACAGTTCATAATTTTCTTATTGTCTGAAATGCTACCTTCAGCATACATTAAGTACTCGCTTTCTGGTTTGTCTGTTTAGTTCCATTGAGAACCTGTGTATCTGCACCAGTATCAAACCATTTATTTATTTTAACCTTGTAATATGATTCAATATGACAGTTCAAGTTTGTCCTCCTCCCTTGCATCGGCCACTCCTTTTTGGAGAACAGGTTGTATGTTCTCACCTGTTTGTTTTTTTCCAGATGAGTTTCAGAATCATTTATAAGTTCCTTCCCCCATATCCAGTCTTTTGGGGACTGACATAAACTAGAGATAACTAGTCCATTTACAAAATTGAGTTTTCCTAGCCACAAATGTGCTCTGATTATCTCTTTATGCATATTTCTTTTTCATTTTTTGGGGGGGAGGGTACTGGGAATTGAACTCAGGGGAACTGGACCACTGAGCCACACCCAAGCCTTATTTTGTATTTTATTTAGAGACAGGGTCTCACTGAGTTGCTTAGCGCCTTGCTTTTGCTGAGGCTGGCTTTGAACTCTCGATCCTCCTGCCTCAGCCTCCGGAGTCGCTGGGATTACAGGCATGTGCCACTGTACCTGGTGCTTTATGCATATTTCTATTGTGGGCCTGCAGCAAAGTTCCACAGAAGTCCTGCACACAATCGTTACTGCATTTATTATTTCTATGCTTGGCTTCCTGTTAACCACCCTGGACAGGATCTGAAGAGGCCTCCAGCTTCCAGGCTTGCTATAATACTGTGTACCAGAGGCTGGAAGGATGTGCCAGGGATAGAAGAATGGCACTGCAAAGGCCTGGTCCTGGTGGTTGGCTCCATCACACCCACTCTTAATGACTTTAACCAAGTCACTCCCTTTCCTGGGTCTGTTTACTTCTTTGTAAAATGATAGGTTTGTTCTCCATAGCTAAGGTTCTTTTCAGGTTAAAATTCAGATTATATCAAAAAGGAAATGATGGATGGGACTGTCCTTTGAGGTTGTGTCTATTCATGACACAATGCTTAGGCTCTGAAGGAGTAAGGAATAAAGGGGTGGCTAAGTATGGCTAGTTTAGTCTGAGAAAAACCTGGAGATGGCAAACTTGAATGTGGGTTGTTGAGGGGCACATGGGTCGGTTTCCCCATGCAGAACAAGGGCTCAGATCTGAGAAGAGGAGGAAAGCAGAGTCCATCCAATGGGACTAGATACCACGAACCAGGGTAGACCCTTGACCAGAGAGCAGCAAAAGGGAGTCAGCGCAAGTTTTCGTAGACTGTTTCTTTTAGCCATGCCCTGGGAGGCAGTTCTACGGAATCCACCACTCAAATCCATGAGCGCCTAGTCAAGGAAGTCCAGCCTAGTCCTAAGGTTTCCTCAGTCCAAAGATTTGTCAAAGAATCCAGGTAAATTACATCAGGGGTCTTGGCCTTGACTGCATCAATTCCAGGAGTTGAGGGGGAATGGCAAGCACAGAGCAAGAGGATCTTCCCTGGCCCAGGAAGCAAAGCAGGTCTGTGATGAACCAGGCACGGGAGGCACAGTGGTCCCAGAGTGGGTTTGGACAGGCTGCCCTGCAGAGCTCTGCTAGGGACTCAGATGTGTTCTAATGCTCAGGCTCCCTGGGCAGAGGTTCTTCAGCAGGTGAGTGCCTTCTCCCACCAGCTGCTGGGGAGAGGTGGGCGTTGGAATGCTGCTCCTGGGCGCCCTGGCCTCACTCAACCTGCCATTTCACACACCCATTCCTTAACCTCATTCTCTGCCCATTTCATTCCTCTTCCCACGCAGTGTTTACTAAAATCTCTCCTCCCCACTGGACGAAGCACGAGACCTGGGTTTCCTGGGCTGTCTGGGGAATGTTCCCACAACTAGTGAGCCACCAGGCAGAGAACCAGTGGGTGGCCACCCTGTGCCACCCACTCCAGGCAGAAGGACCCCATCTTCCACCTTGGGGATCACAGATGTTCTTGGGAACAAGAAAACCAGGCCATCTCTGAGAACGACTTTTCCTCTGGGGCTTACAAGTGAAAAAACAAAAACACCTTACAGGAAAGGGAGATAAAGGATCCTGTAGCTTCACTGTTTGTTTATAAAGCAGGGGACAGTAGTCAAGGGACAAGCCAGAACCTGTGTGGCATTTTATAATCACTGTGTCTAGAAGCCAGTGTTTAGTTACATGTTTTCTTCTGTAGACTCGGATCTTGCCATTCATGGTGTGGTCCATGAATGAACAGATTTGATGTGGACTGGGAACTTGCTGGAAATGCAGAATGCCAGGCCCCACTCCTGGACCCCGAACTCAAATCTGCATTTTAACCAGCCCCAGAAGAGCTCTATGCATGCGCACCTAGAGTCGTGCTGCTTTGGCATGCTGCTTCTCAATCCTGGCTGCACACTGGAATCCCCTTGGAAAAGTACCAGTGCTTGGGCCCAACCCCACACCCACAGATAATGATTTAATTGTTCTGGTGTACATCCAAGACAATGGGTTTAAAAAAAATTCCATGGGTGAATCTAATAGGCAGCAAAATTTGAGAACCGCTGTCTAGCCTACGTATCAATGAATTACAAGAAAACAAGAGAAATTCTTTCCTGGATTATAAATAGAATTACAGAAAGCTTTGCAAACAATTATGGCAAAATTCCTTGAGAATAAATGGAACATGCTACAGATATGATATGTCTTTACCACTTAGTGTCAATAAGCAACGTGCTTGGGGAAAATAAAAACATTCAGTTGTACTCTTCAGTGGAATGAACAGATAACACTTTCTTTCTTCTCTTTCTCACTTTGTGATTAAAAACTAAAAAAGCCTCTTCATGGAACAATTTTCAGAGCATAGCAAATGGGAACATTTTTGTGCTCTAGTTTTCTTAGCATGATTTCATTTTAGCATTGCAAATTTTGGTCTGATAATGTGCTTTGCAGTAGGGCACCGTCAGTATAGTGGAGGCTCTTGTGTTCTCTTGTAGAATACAGAGTTTCCTTTTTACTCACATACTCCTTTAATGTAGTTAGACATCAATCTTTCTAGCTTAGAAAGGATGTTTTATTTCATTGCCAGGGGATAGAACTTCCAAAAAACACAAATGTCTTTCAGCATCATGTTGAGTAAATAATCAAGGGTCTATGAATTGGTCTCTCTCTCTAACTTCCTGCCTTATTTTGCTTTCAACTCATAGGTGAGCTAGGAAAGGACATCTGCGTGAACGTTCCTGCCACCTAGGCAGGCTATCAGCCCTGAAGATGAGTCTCAGCCTCCAGAGCTTCCTAGGCTTGGCATGTTGATCTGCTCCTGGAGTTTGTCAAGGAAAAGCAACACACACTATGTTTGTGGACCAGTCAGTGCCTTTCCTCTGAATTCAAGCCATTCAAACAAATCAACTCAGGAAAATATACAGTGACTCCTGGTTCAAGTTTCCCCAAGAATACCAGAGTTCCTATAGGATATGACCACATGAAATGGAACCTGACAGCAGAAAAACCGTTGATGTCCTCTGTCCAGGTTCAGAGGGAGCACAGAGTTCACATCCCCACCTTCAACACCGATGGAAGGCATTGTGAGTGCCCATGGCCCCAGGAGGAAGCCAGAAAGTTCACTGAGAATTGGATGGGGACAGTGACCTGAGACTCTGGATGGTGCTTCTTCCAGGTCTCTCAACAGCCAGGAATGCAGTGTCAGGAATGGGTCAGAATGGAGTCCTCGGCACCAGCCCAGGCTGAGGTGGGGAAGGCCTGGTGAGGTCTTGGGAGGTTGGCCAGGACTGATGGCTTTCAGTTCAGTAGAGGGAGGAGGCCCAACAACCGTCCCAATCCAAACCAAACTTTCCAGCTTGGCCTAACGCAGGAGACAGGAGACATTACCCACACCATGTCTGTGCAAAGGAAACCCACTCCAAGATGGCTCCGCCAAAGTCTACCAAGTCTCCTCGGAGTGGATAGTGAGCTGGCCTCTAAAAACCTTAGTTTTTTTAAAAAAATGTTCATTCCCTTTATCTTCTTGAGAATTCACAAAGGACAAATATACCCTGTGACAAGTCTCCCTCTCACCCTATCCCTAGCTAGCCAGGCCCCCTCCCTGGGGACAGTGACATAAGGGGCCTCGTGCACATGACTTCCTGGCACTCCCTTCCTTGTAAGAAGGGTCCTCTGATGAGTGAAGGGTACCTCTTTGGTCTCCTCTGGCTCACATACAGGCATGTAGAAAATTCCAGTCTCTTTCAGTGTCTTTATTCCTTGGGAAGCCCCAGGACACTGTTCCACGTGGCATGGAGAAAGAGAGCATAAAACTGCACATCTCCAGCATCTGGCAGATGGCACACATGCAATGTTTTCTTCCACCAAACATCAAATGAGCTCCTTTTCTGTGCAAACTTGCTAGATGCTGCAGAAGAGGAAGCCATGAACGAGCAAGTCATGCTCTCCTTTCGCAGGATGTTAGACCTGGGTGAGGTTGGGACCCACCCTCTAGTTGATGGGGAGACAAGCAAGAGAAAACAAAGGAGTGAAGAGGAGGAGGCAGCAAGACTACAGGCAAAACCTTGAGAACTGATGCAACAGGGGCCGGGAAAGGAGAGAGGGAGCTTGTTCCCTATGGATTGGAGCCACTCTACAGCCCTACCATTTCATCTTCACAGCTACTTAAATGTGGCATTTCCTTCTCCACACCTGGCTGAGGTGGGGCCAAGGGAAGAGGATTCTAGAACAAGATTTAATGGGCCCTGTCTTGGATCATGGTCAGTTGAGGATGGCCCTGGAATCTTCTCAGCCAGACTGTGTATCCCTTGAGGTCAGGTGTGGACAGAACAAGTGGCTGCATGTTTCATTCATCATTACCAGACAAACAAGTATTATTTTCCCATTTCTGAGACAAGGAAACAGAATCAGAGAGGTTAAGTAACTTGCTCAAGGTTGCTCTGCAGGCTAGAGTCAGAGCTAGCTGGATCAGGAACCCAGGGCTGTCTGGTTATTCCAGCTCAGATCTCTTTTCCCCCCTCTAGGCCTTGTTCACCTTGATGCTCCTTGATATCCTTTTTGATGACTGATTTGATTTTTGTGTAAATTAGGGGTTTTCCATGTTCCCAACTTTTAACTTCAAAACCTAAGCCCAATTTCACAGCCTTTCCACATGTTGGGATAGCAAGTTGTGACTGTGCCCCCCTCTGCATGTTTCTTAATCACTGTGCTTCAAATGTGCTCAGAAAAACAAAGGTATCTTTCACGTTACTTCCTGGTAAAACAACTCTGCATCTGGTGTTGCTAAATTCTAGAGCAATTTGTCCCAGTTGTTATAAGACTGATTTCATTCTCATTTTAAAATTTGAGTTTTTATAGGCATACACACTAACCTGACGACTTTGTACATCTCATTAATATGTTCAAACTCAATTTGTGATGAATATAGATCATGGTTCTTGTACTTATGTGCAGAAGAGAGCACATATGTGTCCATTTACTAAGTTATTAAACATGCCACACATGCTAGCATCAGGCGATAACTCTCACTATTAATGTTTCCATTTCCAAAACAGATACATAGAATAAGGCCCACATTCCCTTCTGGTCAAGTGGGTTGTAGAGACCTGGGCCATTCCACTGTACGGCCTTGGTGTGTTATTATAGCCTCAAAATTCTCATATTTCTATATGTGTAAGCTCTGTCATGGTTTGGATATTTGTAATGATAGGAGCCTGAATAGGAAAAATCTTCTAGGAAATATTTCTAGAAAGATCTAGGACCACTATGGGAAACTGAGACCCACACCCCGCCCCGTATCAGTACACCTTGGCAACTATCTATCGTGGTTCTGATGTCTTCTAATCCCTGCATATGCCTTCACTTGCCTCCGTAGCACTCAATGAAATGTTCCAGAATCTTCTATATGAGAATACACCACTCACTTAAGCACACCCCACCAAAGGAAAATGCTAACAATAGTGTAGCCAGCTTCCAAGACAAACTAAAATCTACTCACAGCCTCACCCATACTTATCAGTGTCAAAGCAATGATGCATCTAATGATGATAAACATATGCTTGAGGAAGAACAGATCTTTAGAGCAAGGAGGGATGATGAAAATGAGGTAGAGAAGGCATTTCTTAAGGCTGTGACTAGAATCTAGGTCTCTGAGCTGCTCGCCAGGACCAACTAATGGGTACACGGCTCAAGTTCAAATTCGATTTTTCCTCCTTCTCTAAATGTATTAGTTTCCTATTACTGCTGAAACAAACTACTACAAGTTTTGAGACTTAAAACCACACAAATGTATCATCTTACAGTTCTGGAGGTCAGAAGTGTGAAATGAGTCTCAAAGGGGGCAAGAAGCAAGGTGGCATCACTATCACAATTTCTAGAGACAGTAGGGAAGAATGTGCTTCTCGACCTTTCTTTCAGCCTGAATTCTTAAACTTCTTCCCTCTTCACAGCTCCTGTTCTGATTTTTACCCTCTTGCCTTCCTCTTGATGAGGGTCTGTGTGATTATAATGTGCTGACCCATCCAGGGTAATCTCATTTCCAAAGTTACATCTACAAAGTCCCTTCTGATGTGTAAGGTAAAATAGTCACAATTCCAGGGGATCAGGGGGTGGACATCTCTGGGGGACAATTAGGACAAGCCTACCCCACTACACACAAGCCTCTCTATTGCCCACAAAAAACATTCTCCAGTTTGATGGCGCTCCTGAAATGCAAAGCTGGGTAGAGAAGTAGGAAGAGGAAAGTTAACACTTTTTGTTTGAATGGGCATAATCCACAGCCCAACAGAAGTCAGAAATTGAAGCACATGACTATGTCCATTAGTACTACACACAGGTGTGCAATGACGAAACAGCAAATGACAGATTTGGCCTCAAAATAAAGTAACTTGTAAGATACAAACCTGAAGAACTTCCATCAAAATGGAAAAAGGCAAAATACCTAAACAAGAAACCACCAAAGACATCACTGCCATTTACCTTCAACCCTCAGCCAGGGACTTGGCATGACATGTTCCAAGTGGACGGGTATCATCCACATAGGCTCTGCTCATCTACTCCAAGGCATTTTGAAACCTTTCATAGGATCTCTTATCATCTCAGCACTTGGAGTTTTCTTGATAAATATCTTGCTGCAACGAACATTATCACAAGTACATCTTGACACAAATACACTCCTGCTTATTTTCTTAGGATAAATCCTTAGAAGTGGTACTTCTGGATCAACGGGCAAACAGGGCTTATTTTATAGCCTTATGATGAGGATTACCAACCAGCTCTCATAAAAGTAGCAACAATTTACACACCCAACAAGTCTCCAGTTTTATCTGCTTTGTACACAGACACTTCCCTTAACTTTGTTAATCTAATCAATAAAAATGGTCTCTCATTTATTTGCATTACTTTGATGACTAGGGAGGGGAGATCTTTTCTATATTTATTGGCCATGAGTAACTACACATCCTTTTATGACTTGCCTATTTAATTAATTTATTCATTCTCTTACTGGTATGTTAAAATTTTGTGATTGATTTTTTAAGAGTAATTTATGTGTGAAGGATATGAATCCTCTTTAGGATTCAGATATTGACAAATATTGCTTATAGATTTTCTTTCTATAGTGTTTTTTGTGTGGCTCATAATTTATCATCTGTATGTATCTATTTTCCTTTATGATTTTTGTCTTCAATGTTCTGATTAGTTTTCCTTTATCTAATTATATATTAATTTATATCATCTTAGAGAACTTTTGTGCTTCTTTTTAAAAATTTTTTTTTAGTTGTAGTTGGTACAATATATTTATTTATTTTTATGTGGTGCTGATGACTATTTGATGACTAATTGAACCCAGTTCCTCACACATGCAAGGCAAGTGCTCTATCATTGAGCTATAGCCTCTGTGCTTCTTTTAAATAGTTCAATCAGATTGAATTCATTTTAGAATCAGCTTGAACTTGTTTAGAATGTCATTACCTTTTCCAATAAAATTTGTTTCTTTTTAAATGTTTAGCCTGCCATCTCAGAATCATCTATGACATGATCCACCTTTTCCTTATGGATATGAAATGCCCCTTTACCACATATGGACTTGTTACGTGCAGTTGGGTCTCTCTTGGACTTTTCCATGCTGGTCTGTGAATATATCTTTTCTTATGCCAGTGTCACAATGTTTTAATTATTTTAGCTCTATTATACTATTAATATTTGATGGTAAAAAATACTTCCACACTTTGAATCAACATTTTCTTGTACCTTATTCTTAAAAGAGAACTTTGGAATCATTTAGTAAAGTTCCCCCTTACTTATCCTGAGCCAGCTGACAGACAACTAGAACTGCTTTAGATTTTGAAAGCAATGATGGGAAGAACAATTTTATTCCATGTGCTTTCCCATTGAGGAACAGGTCTCTATCAAATAAATTACCTTAAATGGAAAAATCTATGGTATTCTTCAAATAGATTCTGAATGCATCTTTTACAGATTATTCCCACGCCGTCTTAAAACCATTTGAGGCTGATATTCTCTATACATTTTTTACTGTTATTATGATTGTTCTATTTGGGGGATTTTTTTCCCCTCTTAATTTTTTTGGGGGTGGGGATACCGGGGATTGAACTCAGGGGCACTCAACCACTGAGCCACATCCCCAGCCCTATTTTTGTATTTTATTTAGACACAGGGTCTCACTGAGTTGCTTAGTACTTTGCCATTGCTAAGGCTGGCTTTGAACTCTCAATCCTCTTGCTTCAGCCTCCGGAGCTGCTGGGATTATAGGCACGCACCACTGCAACTGGGTTGCTCTTAAGTTTTTAAATATACAGTGCAGTATTTTTTTCTTTTCTTTCTTTTTTTTATATAGAAGATTACTAGAATTTTTCATCTTGCACCACTGAAATTTTACACCCATGGAGTAATAATTCCCCACTCCTCACATACACCTAGTATATTTTTCATTGGTTATAGATGATTTATAGGGAAACTAATGACCATTTTCTTACTTGTACCCTACTGTCTTCTCTTAACATTCCTAATAGGCGTTCTGGTGGGATGTGTGTGTATTTCTGGTATACAATTTGTAAAAACAGTGATTTATCTCCTTTCCAACTTGAGTTTACTGAAAGCAGAGTCAGCTGCCCAGATCTCATCAGTACTGATAAACTGCTGCTGCATGCACTTGCGTGGACCTTGAAGTTCTTGTACCTGGAGGAAGGAGGTGCTGGGACCACACCGTCATGGTTGCCCTCTGCCGTCTAAGTGCTGCCATAATTATTTTTATTGTGTTTCCGTAAATCTATAACCCTCACGCTCAACTAGAGCTCTATACCTCTCTCCAAAATATGCTTCTACTGGAACACTTCCTTGTTACCACCAAGTTCTTTGCAGAAGACAGTGAGAAAACACCTATTTCAAAGGCCATAGACAAAAAAATTCTAAGCCATGGGAAAATAAAACAAAATACTTCCTACAATATATCTATGAAGATAAAGAAAAAAGGCAAAACCTTAAGCTGGAAACATAACCTCAGACTTGATTCTGGCACAAACTTTTGCCTAGCTGAGGTCAAATCTTGGCTCTTTGTCACTTTAATTCTGTCCCTGGGCAAATACCTGAAACCTCTTGGGCTGTAGTTTCCCTATGCAACAGAGAACATATAAAGATGCAATGGAGCTGGGTGTGGTGGTGCACACCTGTAATCCCAGTGGCTTGGGAGGCTGAGGCTGAGGCAAATTCCAAGCCAGCCTCAGCAAAAGTGAGGTGCTAAGCAACTCAGTGAGACCCTGTCTCTAGATTAAAAAAAAAAATACAAAATAAGGCTGGAAATGTGACTCAGTGGTCAAGTTCAATCCCTGGTACCCCATTCCCCCCACATAAAAAAAGGAAAAAAATGCAAAGGGCTTGGTATGGAGCTTAGTATTTCTGCTTTCCTTTACACACTCAACAAAATGTCGTATGTCTTTTATGTGCCCTACACTGTGCTGGGCATTGGGGATAAAACAGACAAGGTTGCTATAGTCAAAGAACTTTAATGGGGCAGGCAGGCAAATGATAATTAGATAAATGAAATCATTACAGCACTGAGGACTATGAAGGAAGCGCCCAGAGGTGTGATGGACAGTTACTGCAAGAGACCACTAACACAAGGCTTCTCTGAGACGGAGAAGCACAACGGAGATCCAAAAGACACAAGCAAGTCAGCTGTGGGGAAAACTGGGGAAAGAGCACTCTGGGCAGGAACTAGAGCAAGCGCAAAAGCCTAGAGGTTAGAAAAAGTTCTGACACATCTGGGAAAAGGGGAGCTGGAGCACAGAAAGAGAAAAGATGTGTGCATCTGGAGAGGAGGTGGGCTGCCTGGGAGGGGCTCTCAGGGCAAGAGAGCCTGGGTTTTACTGCACTTTCCTATTGCAGTTGCTTTGTTTTTTGGTACCATGGATGAACCCAGGAGTGCTTTACCACTGAGCCACATCCCTGGCCCTTTTTTATATCTTATTTAGAGACAGAGTCTCACTAAGTTGCTTAGGGCCTTGCTAAGTTACTGAGGCTGGCTTTGAATTTGTGATCTTCCTTTATCAGCTTCCTGAGCTGCTGGGATTACAGGCATGCACCATGGTGCGGGGCTCAGAGGTTTTATTTGTTGTTGTTGGTTTTTTTTTCAGTTGACACCGATGTGAGAGATACTGCTGTGGGTTTGCCATTTAACTCAGAAGTTTGACATACATTCAACTATGTCATTTGTGACAAAGAGATCTTACTTTAGGAGGAGGCTCATTTTATGATTGTGAAGCATTTCTCTTCAATTTCAATCCCCTTGTTTATACCAGATCTAATGCTGTGCACAGAACAATGAAAAGTACCTACTGTGCTTATATGAGAGGCGCAGAGATTAGGAAAAGCTGCTCTTGTGGGCCTCTGCCTACAGAAGCTGAGCTCCTTGGGCATCTTTTCCTTTGGGCACAATACATTCCTACCTGCCAACTTCTGATTAAGAGTTAACTAAGGAAGGGAGGCTCAGGTGGGTGGCCAGGAGGAAAGTGGTCACTCACTAGCTTTTGGAAAGGTTGTAGTGACCTGTAATCTGATACCTGAGATAAAACCTCCACTGCCAAGAACCTTGCCCCATCAGCCTGGCCAACAAGAATCATGTGAAGGCTGTAATCCCAGAAGCTTGGGCAGCTGAGGCAGGAGGATTGTGAGTTCAAAGCCAGCCTCAGCAAAAGCAAAGTGCTAAGCAACTCAGTGACACCCTGTCTCTAAATAAAATACAAAATAAGGCTGAGGATGTGGCTCAGTGGTTGAGTGCCCTTGAGTTCAATCCCTGGTTACCTGCCTCCCTCAAAAAAAGAATCATTGTGGGATCTATGTGACAGCTGTCCAGGTGGACAAATTCTTTCCATCAGTTTTTAAAGTCATTTGTATCAAATGCACTAATCTGTATTTCCCCAAATGATGTTGCATTTATTTACTGTAAGCTACTCTTGCACTGTTCTGCCTTGAACGTTATTAGACACGAAAAGAAGTATAATTAAAAACGGCTTAGTCTAGCATTAATTTTAAACTCTGCCAATGGAAGCAAGCTGATGTGGTATTTTTATAACCAGAGAAAACCGACTTCGGGGACAGTTTCTAGCTTTTACAGAGTAGCAGCACCCCAAGAGCTTATTTGCAAATTAGTTGATTACATCTCCTTATCCACAGGAAACTGAATACCATTAAGAGCAGGTGAGAGTGCTGCAAGCTTCCGTTAGCTGATCTCACCTTCTGCCCACCTGACTTCATTGCTGCAGAACTTGACTTTCCTCACCATAGCACTTCGGTTCTTGTGCTGGGAACAAACTTCCTGAGCATATGGATTTCCTAAGTTCATCAAGCCACTGTCAGACATGAACAGGGCTCCTCCCAGGCCAGGGCATTTGCTGCCTTTCCTGGTGTGGTCCTGGGGTATCAGTTGAGTGGGCTGTGGGGGAGCAGAAGTGTAAGGCACAAGTTCAAATTGAACAGGGCCTGGGAAAGAGGATGACAGAATACAAGCCTTAGGTTAAAAGTCTGGGAACAGACTGGGGGGAGGAAAATCAAGAGGGTCCCCCTGACACTTGTCTTTCTCTTCTTTATCACCAAGATTAATGGAGAGAAGGAGAGGGAGAATGGACCACCCACTTACTGATGATAGAGAGGGGCAGGTGCAAGGGTTTGGAGGACACTGCCCTTCCTTCCCTGACTTTGTTGGGGTAGGAGGTCCTTCCTATACATGAGCTTGCACAGATCTAGTCTGTATAAAAGTCCACAACTGCCAGGACATAAAGGCTGTATTTGTTCAATACCGTAGTTGATAGGTCCTTTCACATTCATTGAATCTTCATGGCTATGGACGATTATACAAATCAAGACTCAAGT